ATATATTCACTTTAGCTTTTTTTTTTTTAACGTGAACTGTGGTCACAAAACCTTCCGTTTAATACAGGAATCCAAATTAAACTGTCTCTGAAAAGTGGATTTTCAACCTCTACATGAGCATTTCAAGTGGAAGAAAGTCTGTAACCTTTCTAAAAAAAAACTCTCTTACCACTGGGAAGTATTTTGTACGTGCATTTCTGCAAATTAAATCTTTTATTGCATGTCTTGCACTTTGGAATTATATAAAAAAAAGGTCTTGACTTTCTGTGTGTCATTTGTTTCAGGCATTTGGAAAATGCTTTTGTGCTTCCCACAATCTTCTTATCTTTAAAGCTATTTTCAGTTCTTTCAATCACTCTTCATAGTTTTTAGTGTTGTTATTTCCTTTCTTTTAAGCTGTTTATTTATCTGAATCCTTTTTAAGTTTGGTGTGCAGTGCTGGATACAACCTCGAGATGGAATCTGACAAGTGTGAAATAAAGTAAAATGATATTAAACCATACTTTTGTTGGTGGAGCCTAAAATCATGTTTGCTTTTTCTACAGCCATACTACAATATTGACTCTTAGTCAGTTTGTTAACAATTATAATTCCAAACTGTTTTTCACAAATACTACACCCAAACCACCTATTCCCATCCTATGATTGTACATTTGATCTTTGTTTTTTTAAATGAAGGACTACACAATTGTTTGCATTTAATTTTTATCATTTTGTCTATTTGCAATGCGCTCTACATGGGGCTATCCTTGAAAAGTGTTTGGAGACTATAGTTGGTCCAGAATGCAGTCGCGCGAGCTATCGTGGGTGCACCTAGATACACCCACATTACACCAATTCTCCGCGAGCTGCACTGGCTCCCTATTGATCTCCGGGCACAATTCAAGGTGTTGGTTATTACCTTTAAAGCCCTACATGGCTCAGGGCCAGGTTATCTTTGAGACCACCTTCTACCACATAGCTCCCAGCGACCGGTAAGATCCCACAGAGTTGGTCTCCTCCGAGTCCCGTCAGCTAAACAATGCCGGCTGGTGGGCCAGCGGGGGAGGGCCTTCTCTGTTGTTGCCCCAGCTCTCTGGAACCAGTTACCTCCTGAGGTCTGGACCACCCCCACCCTATTGGCCTTCCGAAAAGCGGTGAAGACCTGGCTTTTCCAGCAGGCCTGGGGCCGTTGATCTCGCTGTTGCGATCTTGTGAGATCTGGCCATGAATGGTGTAAATGGTGTGAATGGGTTTTAATGTTTTAATTTTTAAATGTTTTTATAATATTTTTTTTTTTTTTAAAAATGCATTGTAAGCTGCCCTGAGTCTCCAGAGAAAGGCGGCATATAAATTGAATTAATAAATAATAAATAAATAATATTTTCTTACCCAGCTAAGATCACTTTGAATTCTATTTTTGCCTTCTAAAGGCATTAACTCTGCTACATATTATTTTGTTTCGGTACCTGCAGATTTGATATTTTGCATTGTCTCTTTAGCCTACTTATGAACAAAATGTTTGAGAGTACCCAGATCAGGACTGATCTGTTTGATATTCAAATGCAGGCATGAAATATATGCATAAGAATCCATGCAACATGTTTGACGTCGTCTCATTTTTACCAGTAAGGGCCAAAACAACAAGGAAAGTTGAGCCTTACTCCCATGGTTAATCTTAGGAAAAGCAGAATGCCACATATGTTGGATCTAGACTCGCAATAATGTAGATGCTGATTCATACTGGTGAATGAAAGATGTGGACTACAGCCGGTAACCAAAACTGGTAAGATTTTTCCTATGAACTTCATGCTCTGAAATGGTCATATGTAGAAGGGCCTTACTGATCTTGGATGTATATCTGCACTAAACCGAATGTCAAAGGTGCAGAACAGATGCATATCTACCAGTGATAACATTAACTTTGAATTGATATAACTACACCAACAAATTCCATGATATTGCCCCCAAACTGCATAATTTTACTGATGACAGTATTTCTATGAGATATGTAGTTCCCACCAGGGACATAATTCATCTAAACTACAGTATATTGTGAATTCAAAACTCAAGCTGGGAACTGGAAAATGTAATTGTGCCTTTCTTTCTGGACTATGGAATCAAAAGATGGTAATGGTTGTGAACTTGGAGTGAAATGAACCAAGAAGGATCTGCCAATTTATAATTTTTAACCTGCCTAAAAGAAGCACAGCTAGTAATGCTCCCAAAATGGTTGGCCAAGTTCCATTTATCATCATTATCCCTTGGTGGTATTATAAAATTGGCTTTTACAGGTACATGTTGCCTTTTCTTTTGGGATAATGGCAATTCTTTGATGCACCTGTTTATTTCACAGGGACATTTATAAAGAATATTTGGCTTAAAGAGGCCACAACTCTTTTTTTGCTGGTTTTAGAAGATTGTGTTGTGTTCTTCATCCTTTTTTGAGAGAGCAAAAGCTTCAGTGGTAACTCTACCCTAAGTGATACAATTTTGGTTTGTATTTAATTTTCTACTTTAACTCTTTTTTTTCCTAATTGACATGTGGTGCTGGACTTTACTTGTTAAAAGATTTTTGCTTTATCTCAGGAGTGTCAAACTCAAGGCCCGGGGGCTGGATCTGGATCGCAGGGAGCTTAGATCTGGCTGGCCTGGAAACAGCGAAGGACCGGCCTGCATGCCAGACTGGCCAGTGAAAATGGACCTTGGGAGGGCTTGTGTGCAGCCCTCCCGAGCTCCGTTTTCATTGGCAGAGGGTTGCAGGAGGCCGTCACAACCAAAAATGGAACTCGGGAGCCTGTTTTCGCTGACAGAGTGCTTGGGCCACCACAGGCGCCCCCAACATGAGTGATGTCGAGCTGGCCACACCCACCCTGGTCCCCTGAGGTCAAACACAACCCTGATGCAGCCCTTAATGAAATCAAGTTTGACACCCCTGCTTTATCTGGACTGCAGGATTACCCAGTTTGCTTAGATTGCTCTCTTAAATGTAATGATAGCAATGACATTGGTTTTGGTTACATTTATCTTAATGTGAGCAGCTGCAGAATTATTTATCTTTTTAAGCAAGTCTAATTTCTAATCTCAATTGCTAATTAATAATGACCTTTGTATCCCATTCTTCCTTCAAGAAGCTCAGGGAAGTGTTCTTTCTTTCTTCCTAAACTCTGCATCCTCCCAACAAATCTTGGAAGTAAGATTAGACTAAGACAACTTGACTGAAATCCCACATTATGAGAGGCTATGGCTTGATTAACCATAGTTTACTGATTAAGAACTAATTGGTTTGGTTTGTACCATACATTTAGCCATAAAACTCTGGCCTACAATAATGACGGAATGCTGACAATTCACTGCATCTAAGTTCCATCTGTAAACTATAGTCCAATAATTTCAGGAAAATCTCCAATTTTCTACCCCAATTTTATTCCTTTATCTTACAGAACAACTGCCCACCTATTAAAAATGTAACCCAGAGAAAAATCAAGGTTAATGAGTTTACGCTTCAAATCAGATTTAGTTCAAGCCGTGTCGGTACTTTCGTTTTCCAGCAACCTCTGAAACCTACTCACTTACCCATTATTTTTATTTTATTTCTTGTGGAAAATGATTCATACCCTGGAGATCAGATCTTTTCTTCAAACTAAGTTTTCAGGGGAAATCAGAACTACCTTATCTAGTCCTTATATTATGGAGATTCCTGATGTTTTATAATGGATTGGAATCAAGAGCATTCCAGTTAGTGTTATTCGCATGCGATGTGAGCTTTGGAATAGAATTCAGCTCCCTGGTAGTGTGGGATGGATTTCCTGCCTTACAGAGGGAAAAAAATACTCTAAAGACTTCCTCTGTTTCAAGGGTTGTTTAAAACACAAAGGGGGAAAATACTAGATGGAGCAGCAGGCAATCACAGTTGTAGGCTTCCCTACTATGAAGAAATAGTAGGGAATTTTCTATTTCAGTCCGAACAGCAAGCTCTAGTTTTGCATGCATGCATATTAATAGATATACACAAAGATTATGCAAAATGACGCCACACTTTTAATCTTCATTTTGGGTGAAACAAAGAGCCCTGCTTCCTTTAGATCTACTTCTCAAGAGATGGCCATACTATGGCTGAGTACATTTGTTTTTATGGCCTATGGGTGTTTGTGTGTGTGTGTGTGCTTTATAATGGTGGTCTCCAACCTTGGCAACTTTAAGCCTGGAGGATTTCAACTTCCAGAATTCCCCAGCCAGCAAAGCAAAGCTGGCTGGGGAATTCTGGAAGTTGAAGTCCACCAGGCTTAAAGTTGCCAAGGTTGGTGACCACTGCTTTATAATATACCAAGGTCCCTGATACTAAGTAAATTAAACATATAAATAAGTAAATAAATAAAAGGATTTCATGATGCCTGAAGCCAGTTGATTTTATGGAGAAGGCATTGGTGTAGGACTGGCATGCTGGCTCTGAACCAGGCAATATACAAATGAACTTTTAGACCAGACAAAACACTAATTAGTGTGGTGGGGAGAGCAATTAAGTGAGTGAATGAGAGAGAGAGAAAAAACTTTCCATCACCATGACAACCATCCTCTCGAGCTAGGCTGGACTTCTTCGTGCCTTGGACAACCCTAGGCTGGGGTCACCTCTTCAAAGAGTAGAAGAGGGGAAAAAAATAATCATCATTAATGTAAAAGTTTAGAGCCAGCCAACACCATTAGATTAGAGTGGTGTGATTAAAATTGTCTCATTTTCCAATTTTATCTCTACCTGCCACAAAATAAGAAGTTCATGAGAAAAGGGGTGGTAAAGCCCTGGTCTGTTCATTCATTACATGTAGGGCTTCTTTGTAGAGGGGAGCTTTCACAATTACACCCCTTAGGAATCCTACTTCTCTGTCTACTATCACTGTGTAAGGCGTACTTAGCTTTCATAGGGTCTGTGAATGTAAATGTAAATGCACATTCGTGGGAACGAAACAAGTTAGCATTCAAACACTTCTGGCACATATAAGAAAAGAGGAATCAGTTCTTCTTACCTGCATAGTGGTCAAACACTGTTGGTACATATTCTTCTGGAAAGGCATCATTGGCGTAACTCATCAGCAGGCAGGTCTTCCCAACAGCTCCGTCACCAATCACCACACACTTAAGCATCTTCTTCACGCTGCTATCCGAGTAGCTGGGCTCTTCTTCTTTGCCACTCATGCTGTTCGTTCCTTCTTTTCTTGTTTTTCCTTCCAGCTTTTGCAAGCACCCCCGAAAGAGCACAGATCCCAAACGAGAATTTCAGTCGTTGATAGCAGGCTTCTTCTTGAATGAGTTTTTGTTGTTATTGTTGTTGTTATTGCTATTGTTGTTGCTGCATGGCAGACATATGGTTATGAAATCATAACTACAGTTTGTACACTCGATCTTTCAAGTGTGAAAGAGAACCATGTGAAGGAATAAATAGACAACTGACACGTGTGTCGTTCGTAGTTCAAGTCAGGAAATCTTCATCTTGCATAGAGAGACGGTGGTATTTTGCACGGCTTAAAAATAGCAGCAATCGGAGGAGCTGAATGTCTGTTTCTCTGCTCTGGTTTGGCCCGAAAAATCAGGGATTCGTGCTAAATCCATTCCATTTTTCCATCGCATTTCCAAAGAGAAAGTGGAAACTGGAACAAATTCATGGAGCAAACTCTCTCTCTCTCTCTCTGTGTGTCTCTTGTTCTTTTTATTTCATGCAATCCCTTTATTTTCTCGAGTTTGCTCTATGTCAGGAAATCATGGGTTTCCTGCTGAATTCCATATTAGGATCAGTGGGGCTCGTGAAGGGCTGCAAACAATAGAAGCTCTGTATGTGTTTATATTTTGCAGGAACTCTGCCAGGATATGGAAGAAGAAAAACACTAGAGGTCTCACTGCAGACTGCAGTTCATAAGCTTCCTGCTCCAAAAAGATCCATCTGGACATCATCGTTACTCTTCTCTCAATATCGCCCACACATAAAATCATCCTTGGTGAGACTGATATTATCTTGAACTACCCCTAGATTGACCTCTGCGAGCATGATTGGCAGCATCTGGGACAAAGTAAGAACAGTTGTCATCGGTTCTGCTTAAAAACACCTCTAGTGAACTCTTAGAATTTTCATTACACCAGACAGATTGCCCTTCCTCAAACTTCACTGTGAATTTATCTGCTCCTCAGTTGGCCACAAAAACTTATCTCTGCTTTTTTCTTCTTTTCCTACCAGGAATGCTGAATGGCTGCATTTTTTATTTTTTATTTTGTTAAATTACAGGCACGGTTATGAAGAAAATGCTCAGCTGTCCCCTCACTGAGTAGGCAAATATGTGGCACTTTATCAGCTATCGTTTATGTTCAACAGTCCTTCAGTTAAGAACCAAACTTCAAGTAGTATAATATGAACTTAATACAGTATGTCATTAGCTATGACATTTTAATTGTTTGTTCTTATTCATTCCAGGTTAAACTTCCTTTGGAATTATGTACCTGTTGCCCTATTCTAGCTACAATCTGATTAGAAAGCAAGAGAGAAAGATACAAAACTGAGGGAATAAATTAAGCTGTGTCTAAACCTTAACCTCCACACAGCAGCCTTCTCCAATCTGGAACTGTCAGTGTGTTGAGCATACAACTCTCAAAATGGCATGGCAGACTAGCTCTCGAAGAGCTAGATAGAAATTTATAAAGCTTTTTGAAGCTGTTCCAATAAAGGTAATCCTCAGCATATGACCACAATTGAGACCAACATATCTGTTGCTAAGCAAGGTGGTTAAATGTCTTGCACCATGGTTGTTAAGTGAATCACTGCAGTTGTTAATTGAATCTGGCTTCCCCAATTGACTTGGCTTGACACAAGCCAGCTGTGAAGGTCATAAATGGCAATCATATGACCCAGGGTCGCTGCGACAGTCACAAACACATGCTAGTTGTCAAACATTTGAATTTGATCATGTGACCTTGGGGATGCTGCAACAGTTTTAAGTGTGTGGACCGGTGTAAGTAACTTTTTTCAGTGCGGTTGTAACTTCATACAATCACTAAACAAATGTTTGTAAGTCAAGAACTACCTGTATGGCAGTGGTGGGTTTCAAATTTTTTTACTACCGGTTCTGTGGGTGTGGCTTGGTGGGCGTAGCAGGGGAAGGATACTGTATAATCTCCATTCCATCCCCACTCCAGGGGAAGGTTACTGCAAAATCCCAATTTCCTCCCGATCAGCTGGGATTCGGGAGGCAGAGAATAGATGGGGGCGGGGCCAGTCAGAGGTGGTATTTACCAGTCCTCCAAACTACTAAGAATTTCCGCTACCGGTTCTCCAGAACTGGTCAGAACCTGCTGAAACCCACCTCTGCTGTATGGTGCTTTTTCTCTTATCTAAAGGCATTTCCAGATGCAGTTTTACACCCTCCTTGCTTGTAGCCTTCTGACCAATTGGTGACTTTATTGGTCACTTTCCATTGCACGAGATAGGAGTTTATTCCTAAAGCTTCTGATATCATCACAGGAGGGGGAAGTACAATGGAAAACCTCCAGCAAAATTTTCAATTGATTGGTGAGATAGGGGAGTTCATCAGTTCGTTTTTCATGCCACATCTGGTAAGGCTCTAAGTTTTGCTCTGGGATGCTTGCTTTTTAAACATGAAAATGTTTGTTTTCAGTATGAAGTAATAGAACTTCCTTTATTAAGCAGCAAAAAAGTGAAAGAAAAATGCTCAGTGGGCCAATTCCCCAGTTTACCATTTGAGTCAAGAAGCAGACTTACTTCAGCTAATGTCTGCACAGTTAATTGATTTACAGGACCTACACCCACCAGTTGACTTCTTCATACAAACACAATCAGTAGGATATCTCATAAATTACTGTAACTTTTATGTATGCATGTATGTATAGGGGAATGTTCAGGCTTAATATGTTAGAGTTGGGTATTTAGAAGAGTATTTCATTACACCAAATTATGCTTGGGTTTTTTCCAGGCATTTGTTTTAAAAAGGAGTCTCCCACTTGAAAGTTAAAGGCTTGCAGACTAAAACATATGAGGAATGGTTGCAGGATTTAGGTATGGCTACTCTAGAAAAAAAAAGGACTGGAAATGACATGATAGCAGTATTCCAATATTTAATAGACTGCTATGAAGAAGAAGGGGGTTAACTTATTTTCCAAAGCACCAGAGGGCAGGACAAGACACAATGGATGGAAACTAATCAAGGAGAGAAACAATTTGGAATTAAGGAGAAACTTCCTAGCGGTGAGAATAATTGATCAGTGGAACAGTTTGCCTTCGGAAGTTGTGGATGCTCCATCACTGGAGGTTTTTAAGAAAAGGCTGGACAGTCACTTGTCAGAAATGGTATAGGGTTTCCTGCTTGAGCAGGGGGTTGGACTAGAAGACCTCCAAGGTCTCTTCCAGCTCTGTTCTGAATTGAATTGAATGAAAAACAGAACAGTACGTAAAAGTTAAATTTCTCTTTATCAGTTCAATCCATGAACAAAAGTCAGTTTTGGTGTAAGCACTTTGGTGTCTCCAGGCTGGACTGGGCTATAAGAGTTTTTGTCAATTCTTTAGCGCTGTTGTAAGTTGGGGTTCCTGGCAATGATACAATTGTATGGAGAGGTATGTCTGGCCTGTATGCTTTGCATTGGCTTACATTGGCCTGTGTGCTTTGCACTGTGTCCAAAGCACACAGGCCAGACATACCTCTTGATCCAATTGTATCATTGCCAGGGACCTCCACCTATGACATTGTTAAAGAATTGACAGAAAGGCTTGGACACCTCACAGAGGGAAGCAAATACTCTATCAACTTCCCCCTTCAGTGCCTCCAAAGAAACAAAGACGTGATGAGGAATGAAAATGAAATCATGGTCTCATTTGATGTCACAGCACTTTTTACATCCATGGACCCAGAATTGGCCAAGGAAACCATGACAACTCTGCTGCACAGCACATGGATTGAACCAAGTACACCAAAATTGAAATACCCGGAATCCTGGATCTTGTCAACCTTTGCCTAATCACATACTTTCAGTTCAGTGGAAAAATATATCAACAAATCAAAGGAACACCCATTGAATCACTGCTTTCGGGACTGATAGCAATGATTGTGGTGAAGTGCCTGGAATCTATACCACTTCCTTGCATACGATCCAAAATATGGATCCAGTACATAGATGACACATTTGTCATAATAAAAAAGTAACAACTGGAGAATAGATATGGGGCCATCAAAAACAACTTCAGTGGGAGTGGAATTCACTGTGGAGTAAGAGAACAACAGCAATCTACCCTTCCTGAATGTACTCATTGATAGAGCAGTGATGGCAATTAGAAACACAGGTCTGTCATAGGACTATTCATGCCAACCATGTGCTCTACTACCAGGGGAGCAACCCAGCCCTTCATATGAGAAGCTGTGTGGGATCATTTTTTGGATGAACGCAGGCATCCTGGCCACCGTGGACATCAGAGAGCAGAGGAGACAGATTGTCTGTTGAGCATCTTCCAGTGAGATAGATATCCATACAACATAATCAGTGGGTGAACCCAATGTAGCACAGCCAATATAGGCTGTGATGGGGATGGCACTGCTATACACTGGGGGGCATCTCTAAAACCACCACCAGATTATTGCAGCTAAATGACATCACTATGACACACAAGCCAACTAAAGCCCTTCAAAATATCCTAGGGTTGGAGGACCCAGCAGCCTTAGATGAAAGAGCAGGAGTTATCTACAACATACATTGTAAGGACTGCAACAGCCACTGTATGGGATAAACAAGCAGAGAACTAATGGGCACATTCACAAACACCAAGCAGTTAGAAGACATGATGAAAGCTGCTTAATTTCACAACACTTGGGCAGATTTAACCATAGTTTCAAATGGAAATTGTGAGCACCCTAGACCAAGCCAAGTCTAAAAACACTGGAGAATTCCTAGAAGCCTGGCACTCAGGCAAATCAGCCATCAACAAGCATATGGAGATAAACAACATATACATACCATTTAAAAAAAAAACAACTAACAAGCTAACACTAAACAACAGCCCAATCAAGGAACCATCAAGACCATTCTCAGTGTCACCAACACTGACAGGACAAACTACTAGTACATAAAATGAGAACAAACCCCACTCCTTACTAGCACTGATGATGTTACTTATTTTGGTAATGAAATGTCTCCAAGAAGACAACCAAATTTAGAGTGCACCAAGGATCTCTATGTTAACTCATCTTTGAAGGGAAGGCTTAAGTAAGGGTTAAACACCGATTTTATTTTTTATTTCTGTTAATAAAAGAAGGAAGAAAGAAAAATAGGTATGGCTGAATTCTGGCATTTTGCTTCCTAATTTTGAGAGCCCTGCTATCTATGGGTGTAAGTGTTTAGGCATATTTTTAATCCTCAAAATTTAAATCTGTTTTAAATTGATTGGGGTTTTAATCTGTCTGGGCCAAACTATTTAATTCGATTTTATTTCTGCTTTTTAAATTTTGTATGTATGTATTTTATTGTTGGCTGTTCACCACCCTGAGTCCTTTGGGAGTAGGGTGGTATACAAATCAAATAAAAGTAAAGTAAAGTAAAGTAAATGTGGAAAAGAGGGCTGTAGTTCCATATGGCCTGCAGATCACTGGTTACCCCTCCTTATGTTGCAACCTGATGAATTCAGTCCTCCAAAGGAAAGCAATCCCTTAGAACACCCAACTCATACAGTACTTTGTAGAC